ATAATTATTAAGAATAAAACATTAACATGTACCCTTCAAATATTATTCAATTATGTAAATATTGCATTTTAAAAGATAAAAAATAAATAAAAGTTGGCAATAAATTTATTTATAAACTTATTTAAATCTATTTTGTACCAACATTTTGATGATTTATAATTTATATTTTAAAATAATTTTTCTGATTTAATATTACATTAAAAGTACTTTTTCATTAGAAATGTTGCATGAGTGGAAATGTTTTTTTTTGTATTTTATATTTTATTTGTACTTTATTGTATTTTATTTTATTCTACAACTTCTGGGCTTAAATTAGATTTTGAATCCTACGTTTACAATTTACTGTTTTACTTTTACTATACTTTTACTAATTTATACAATCTTGATGTTGAAAAAGTAAAGTCGATCTGCATGCTGTTTGTCGATAAAAACATACCTAGACCTAAAACTCTAAACTGTGGGGAAATCACTGTAATGTATGGCCTCTTGTGATGTATTGCTTCCATATATGCTTTCGGGATAGACAGAAATAGATCTGGTATATACATAACAGCTCAGTTTACTGGCATTTGTGTGTTTTTATTTGTCCATATCAGCCACAAACCTAAGCCAAACCTGTTTTCCTCCTGAGCTTTACCCATACAACCATCCAAAGCCCTCTCTCTCTTCCTCTTCTCTTTCCTCTCTTCCTTCTGATAAGACTCTCTCTGGTCTCAGGCCCATTAGCCAATGGCGAAAGGGATAATTGTCGTGGAAAGAGCCGGGCGTTCGTTTGATGTGGACCTCGACTTCCTTTTGATGTAAAAATGTATCCACTGTGATTATCAAGATTATGGCTTCCTCCCCCTCCTCTTCCTCATTCCCTCGCCCTTTCCATCCCTCCATTAAGCCGTGAAGATTAATTGGAAACAGCCCGGTCTGATGGCTGAAGTCGATGCCGCTGTCTTCGTGGCTGTCGGGTCGTTGAACTCGTGTTTGGGCAGCATCCTTTCTCACAAACTCTCCTTCCTCCTCTCTTCTGCTGCTGAAACACCACATCTCAATAGATACTCAGTGTTTCTATGGGCACTTTTTTAGTTAAACAAATTAGTACTTTTTTTCAGAAGGATGCATTATATATCAAAAGTGGCAGTAAAAGATAAGTTCTTTTAAACTTTCAATTTATCAAATAATCATGAAAAAGCGTTATTATTGGGTATATGTATATACAGTAGTCTGGGTTGTATTTTCTTTCACCTTGTGTAGTTTTGTTCATTACTTCTTTCAAGGATGAGGGGTTTTTATGTAACCTATCATGTGGGCATCTTTCTAATTAAACTGTTTCTACCAAATAACAGATGATTTTGTAATGAATTGAATTTTAACAGGGGTGTAAAAAGTACCCAAAATCATACTTAAGTGAAAGTGCAGTTACTGAGTGAAAATTTGACTAATTTAAAATTAGAAATATCTGGCCAAAAACGACTTGAGTAAAACTAAACAAGTACAACTTTAAATTGTACTTAAGTATTAAAAAAAAAAAAAACGAGAGGTTGTTTCATTATTTTAAATCATCTTTTCAATGCAAGGTGATATAAAATAATACAATGTTTTGTCAGATATAAAAAGGTTTGGTTAAAGGGGGAAAACAAAACAAAATGCAATGGCAAAACATCTAAACATCTAGTCAAGTGTGTACAACAACAGTTCAAATGCAGCACAGAGCAACACAAACAATGCTCAGTGTATTCTTTACATCTTTACACCCTTATGCCATGCCATATGTATTTGACTTTCTTTCTTCAGATGAACCCAAACAAAGAGTTTCAGAAAAAATAAATCTTTTGAAGGCAGACATTTCTGGGATGAAAGTTATGATTGAAGCTTGCGTGTGCTTGCTGCATGAAAAACAAACATCACTGGTTCCCGCATGTCAAGCATGCATGTTTGAGCTATTGTTTACCATATTTCATGTGCGTAAGATGGAAGAAAATACAATGTACTGTTTTTTCTTCAGAAATGTAATCAAGTAAAAGTACAAGTACGTTTATTTTATATTAATCACCAATAGGATAAAACACCGCAGACTGTGTTTTATAGCCTAAAATAAACGCTAAAAAGAAGAATAGAAAATTTCCTGAATTTTCTAAAAAAACAACAACAAAAAAACTTTTTTTCGAGAGAAGAAGGTAAAAAGCAATACAAAACCAATAATGTACCGGTTATATGTTGTCATTCCTTTGCTCTCTAACGGAATGCAACGATATAATAGGCCTAGTTATTTAATAATAACTTTAACAGTGAAGCATGCATCTAACTCTAGGGGGGAAAGCTTAGCATAATAAAATCACCTAAATAAGTCTGTGAATGAATGAATGAAATATGTTGTAGAATGAATAGTACACAAACACATTTCCAAAACTGTAAAAGGTTATTTAAAGATAAAGCATTCATTAATTATTTTATGAATATATCGATTTTACTCATTTATTTAGCCTATAAAAAAAATAAATAATAATAACTATTATTATTATTATTATTATTATTATTATACATTTAGGTTACATATGCATTTAGAAGAAGCTTTTATCCAAAACGACTTACAAAAGAGGAACAAATGACTCCAAAGTAAGTCACAATACCAGGTTTATTATACAATAATAATCAAGTGCTAAGATTATCACAAATTAAACAAGATTTTGATGCACATCTTTCTTATTAAATCATTGTATTCCACCTCGTACCGTTACAATTGATAGAGAATCACTTAAGATAATTTGCTGTAGGCCTATTCCACATAATAATATGCAATAAAATAATATACAATATGATTCGTTAACGCGTAGGCTACCTAACAGCTTGCTGCATGAATCCGTGAGTACAGTTTACAAACCCGAGGGAACGGATTGCGAAAGCGTGCGCACGGATTATGAATTTGTGGGCACGGATTCAAAAAGCGAAGGTACGGTTTACAAAATCTGAGCGCATGGATCGGAAATTCGTGGGTACGATTTGTTAAACCGAGGGAACAGTTTAAGAATTTGTGAGTACCGTTTATAAACCGAGGGGACGGATTGCAAAACTGTCGCCACGGATTGTTTTTTTTTTCTCCTACAGGTGACTTCCCGGGCTCTGTACAAGGCGTCAGATTAAATTGCAAAATAATACTTAAGTACACTAATCAAGTAAAATCACTCAAGCATTTTACACCCCATTTATGTCAATGACAAAGGATTTGGGAAGCATTTTCTTCTGTCTTATAAAACTTGAAAAGCCAATTGATTTTGCTGTCTCAAATGCTCAATGTATAATTGCATTTACCACAAAATTTCCTCTGTTTTTCTTAAATCTGTGCTGTCCACAGCCCTGTTAAATGGATCTGTGGTTGATTTTGTTGGGTATGGATAAGTTAAGAGCCTCTAGTTTAATGCACTAATTGAACTATATTTGAATAAAGTATATACCGTATATATCAAGAAATAAGTCATGAATAAAATTACACAAGGTAAACGATAATTCAACCTCGACTACTGTATATGCATATTGTAACGGGGCTGACGAGACGTGAGACGTGTGGATCCATCTGCAAGCTTTTATTTAAGAGACGTGGTCATAACAGGCAGGGTCGAACAATGGCAAATAGGTATATGGCAGGCAAAACACAAGAATAGTCCTAGGGCTAGCGTAGGTCAACGATCGGCAGACAGAATCACAGGGGCGAGACTAGAGGGATAAATCCAGGAAAACAGGCAAAGATCAGAAACCGAGAAAACAGACAAGGCAAGGCAAAACAAGGAAACACGGGCAGGATAACAGGAACTAGGAATACTAACAGGCTAAGCAATACTCGGCAGAGAATGGTTGTTTGAGTGAGTGTTATATAGTGAGTGAGTGATATGCAACAGCTGTGTGCAATCAGTGCTGTGTGCGATCAGTGCAATGCATGATGGGATATGTAGTCCGGGGTGATATGCAACAGTGTGTAGTGCGAGAGTCAATGAAAATGGAAAGGGTGACCTCTGATGGCTAGCAGACGGAAGTTCATGGACCGGATTCGTGACACATATACCCATTCATTACGTATTTTTTCAGGGTTCCTTGATGAATAGAAAGTTTAAAAGAACACCATTTGTACTTGCACACTGCTCAAACTTGCATCATTGGAAAATGTATTAGCAATGTTCGAGTATTTACAGCTCAAAATAATGACAAAGGCCATAGATTCAATTATGTAGTCAATATAGAATTTGTATTACCTGTTACAAATATTTAAAAAATAATAATTCTTCACCCAAATGAATAATAATACTAATTCACTACCATAATGTTTAAGCAGTAAATTAATGAATAAATTTAAAAAGGATATCATGGAAAACGTTTAAAAAACGTTTTCCATGATATCTTCCCTTGTATCTTATGTTTTTGTTTCTGTTTGATAGAAATGAAAGTGTTGAAGTGAACCACAGGTGACTTCTACAGTCAGACTACTATGTCTTTGTTGTATATAGCAGAATTTTAATGCAGTGGTCACAGGGTTTGTAGGCAGCAAATGAAGAATATGTGTGAGAGTTGGCAAGTGTGTGTGTCTGAGATGCCTGGCCATATAAGCACGCTTGTGTCAGGGTGTTTACTGTACATGCGTGTTTTTGTTGGACATGCGCGTGTGTGTTTTGGTTCAGCGTGTGTGTTGGCGAGTGCGTCTGTGACAGAGTGTGTGAGTGAGGCCTGTTTTCATTAGATGCACGAGTAGATTTCATTTTACATGGCTGTCTGTGAATGTGTGATTAGTGATTTCATCTCTGCTTTTGCATTTCTTCACAGAAATCTGAGCAACAATCGCATCCGCATCCTGAAAAATGGCTCTTTCGCTGGCTTGTACTCCCTCGAGAAGCTGTGAGTAAACCTCTTTCTCGTCGTCATCATCTTCATCACCATTGCCAGGCTTAGTGGTTTCTTTGATGGGCGTCTAGGGTTGGGCTTTTTGATTAATTGTGGAGTCAAATGCTAAAACATTAAAATGAGTAAACGATTACTCAAATAACATGCAACATCACCAATAATGGATTTAAAATAAGGTAACAACATAAAAACACAAGCATGGCATCAGCAAGATATTTTTATAGAAATTAATACGTTTATTCAGCAAGGATGCAAGGAATAAACTGATCAAAAGTGACATTAAAGACAAGTTGCAAATGATTTCTGTCAAGTAAATGCTGTTCTTATTCATCAGAGAATCCTGAAAAAATATATACCAGTTTTCACCAAAATATTAAGCAGCACAAATATTTTCAGCATTGATAATAATTAGAAAGACTAAAGACTGGAGTAATGGCTGCTGAAAATTCACATTACATTTTATAGTAAATATAAAAGCTATTTTAAATCGCAATACAATCTCACAATATACTGTTTTACTGTATTTTTAAATCCAAGCCTTTGTGAGTGAAAATATTTAAAAAATCTTACCGACCCCAAACCTTTGAACAATAGTGTACAAAAAAGTATAAACACTAAGGCTATCACTATTTAAATTTTTCATATGCCTGTTCATCTTAACCTTAAAGGAGTATTTTGGGTTATTTTTAAACTAATATATGCTTAATACAGTTAATGTTTAAAAAAATTTTTTAGCACGTTGATATCATATGTGACAGAATCATTTACCAAGTCCGTACTCTATATGCAAAATTATATTCAGAGTTTCATCTCATATCTCACGTCAAATTGAGTGACTTTCACTTGTTTTTGATCGTAAAGTATCGATTGCGTGGATTTCAGCAAACGCCACCCCCAGAAATAACATCCTCGATGCATAAACAGAAGTACATCTGATTAGAAAAGTAGTCCCACTTCTAAAAGACAGATTAGAGATTGACAGATCAAGTTTTTTGTTCATTTTAAACCAAAAAGTTTCATACTTCAGCTTTAAATACAATGAACAAGTTCAAATATGGTCAAAATCAACAGCATTTTACATTATTTTGAAAATAATCCAAAATATTTCTTTGATTTCATACTGAATACTGAAGTTAATGCTGGCAGGCAGCTGTTTGCTGCTGTCTGTGAGTGTGATGCTACAGTAGGGAGGATGAGACTATCACAGAAAGAGTCTCATTACACCTCCATATATCACTCTGTGAAGAACTGCTCAGATAATAGAGGAGGAGGCTGCCAGGGACTGAAGGAGGAAGAAATATGTTGTGCTGCTGATTGACCTGCAGTATTGATGTATGATACTGACAGCTGCAGTAGGCCATATTATTTTCTAATAAAACTGTTTTGTAGCTCTACTTGAAGCCTGCATGTTTAAAAAATGTAAATTGGTACTATGGCTAAAGAAAACGTAATACCAAAGTATTATTTTTAGTAAACTAGACATATTTTCTAATTGTAAGTGTTGTTTATTTTGAGCGTATGTGGCAGCACGTGTTTAATGTGTGTGTGTGAGGTCATTATTGTGTGCACGTGTGTGCGCTCGTGCTCATGTGTGCACGTGTGCAGTGATTAGCCGTGTTTGTGTAAGACAGGGCTGCTCTCTATATGTAGGTGTTTGTTTGGGGTAAAAGGATCTGATTTGCTTGTTTTTGCAAGTGCAGACAAGACCCCCGGGGAGCTGCGGAAGTCAAAGGTCAGAGAAACTGGAGCTGTGCCCACAAACAGGCGCTCGTACCTGGGGCTGTAGAATGAGGGGGAAGTGCTGTTTGGGTAGATTTAAAACTATAGATGTTAACTCTCTATTAGTACCACATAATTCATTTTTCTGCTTGTATGAATTCAGAAAAAAAAAACACGAAAATGCACTGTTTTATTAAAAAGAGGAAAAGAAACCAGTTGTATTTTGCCTTTTTTGAAGCATTATGACATTACATTTTTTCTCCAAAACTCTCTTTCCTTGTGTCCCATACTAAAGTTCCCTTTCAGTCGGTCACTCTCGACGTCACGTCGGAGGACCGACGAATTGGGATCTTGCTTAGAGGGACCAATCTACTTCGAGTGTAAACTAAACGAGCCAGTGCACATTGGCATGCGATTATTGCATCCAGCTGCTGCTGATCACAGCGTGAGTATAAGTAGGCAGCAGGTGCAGCGCATATTTAGCTTTCCGCTTTGGAGCCGAGCGGTTCTATCGTTTTGCTCCTGACCTTCTGCAGTAGTGATAAACTACAGTCAAGCACGCTCTTCGGTGGGCTCTCGTGCTGGTGGACGGCGCTTGAGCGGCGGTGGTTTTCTCGTGTCGAGTGGGTTGCACACAACAGGCTGCACTACCCCTGTGTGTGTTGCAGACGGCCATCTCCCCTGTGCGCTTCGGCACACTAAAAGAGCAAATTCCATACTAAAAGAGCTTCACGGGTGGAACGTCTTTTTAAAGACGCGTCTTTTTAAAGATGTCATACCATCCGTGCGTTTCTGGGTGCGGTCGTTACCTGTCGCCGGGTGATGGTCACAATCGCTGCCTCTCGTGCCTGGGCATGAAGCACGCTGAGGTGGCTTTCGTGGATGACTCATGCCCCCATTGCGGGGGCATGACCATCTCGGAGTTGCGGACCATCTCGGAGTTGCGGACCATCTCGGAGTGCCCGTGCCACTGCCTAGATCTGGGATTCCCTCTGGCAGCAGCCAGGGGCGTCCTTTTTCTAGCAGTGGGTGGACTGGTCTTACCGTCACGGAGAGGAATTCCCCTCCGGGGATGCCCTAAGCCGCCGGCATTGCGAAACCAGCGGAGCTTTCAGTAGAGCAGGCTGGACCCTCCCGGGGGGTACCACTTGTTTCTTCTGAGGCTCCCCCTGACGATCGGATGTCGATTGCAGCATCGGAGGGTGAGCCGGACTTTTCCGGGGATGAAGATCCGTCAGCGCTGCCGCCCTCTGGGCGGTCAGCAGTGCCGGAGACAGACCCGGAAATGAGGGCTATGCCTCAAGCACAGTTGCTGTGCAAGGTCAGGGAGGACGAGGAGCAGGTCCTGCTGGTGGCACCCTATTGGCCTACCCGGACATGGTTCCCGGAACTAATGCTCCTCGCGACAGCCCCTGCCTGGCCGATTCCTCTGAGGAAGGATTTACTGACTCAGAGACGGGGCACCCTTTGGCACCCGCGTCCAGACCTCTGGAAACTTCATGTCTGGTCCCTGGACGGGACGCGGAGGTTCTAGGTGG